AATTTTGTAGAGAATTGAATGGCGCGTCTTTTAAATAAAGGTTGAAGCCTGGGCAATGAAAATTGAGGGAGATATTCACGAAATACTGACACCGCCATTCTTTATGGGCCACCCGTTAGAAAGAATGAGAAAATAAGGGATGTGTATCATGAGTGCATAACAATACAACGAAAAGAACTATCGTTATCTTATTTGTTTAATATAGCATTACACTATCACGTACTAACAGTAATAAGTCGTGAAGCACATTTGATTGAAGTGCACGCAAATATATTGCACGTGTCGTTGTCTATGTTAATACGACGATTTGAACTTCAAATAACCTTGATCTCTTGATTTCATAACAAATATCTTACAACTTATCTAGGCAAGAAATTCACTATTAAAATCGATTGATTTTTCTCATTTGGGGTCCATGGGCAAACACGGAACATACCACAAGAATCAGCTCGTCGAGCTCTACAAACTGGTATATATCCCATTTAAAACTGAGACTCACACTTGGAAATGTTCCCTCGTAAGCAGGACGTAGAGAATAAAGAAAACTTTTTGTACCAAGACTTTTTACACGTAGGTTATTTCTTCAAGCGATCTATTTTCATTTCTTGAGCGTATATTACTTTCTGAATAATTGGATAAAAACAAGCATACAAACAGTTTAAAGCGTATGAATCTCTCTTTCAGAAAAGCGACAACGAAAGTAAAGAATGTCATTGACTGAAGAAAAGTCAGGAACACATATTATTGTCCACAAAAATCTGAGAAAACCTCCAATTGGTAGAAGAAAAACTGAGAAATAATCTTTTTGGTCGAAAAGTATCTCAAAAAAAAATTGCAAGGTTGTAGCTGCCCCATTGTGTCTAAAGGCTCAAACTCTGAAAATTATCTTACGAGCGATACAGATAGCGGATTCAATTCAAACTTCGTACCTTTGGTGGGCATTTGTTTCCAAAACTTCGTTTCTTTTAGTCCCGAACTCACTAAATGGAGTTTTGACGGAAACAGAGTTCAGGTTCGAACTCCCATCCTAGAATAACACACAGGGAGCTGTTCTTCGAAAAACCTGATTTCTAGTTGTTCCTCACCTACCATTCAGACACCGGGCAAACATACGAAATTCCGTTGTGAAGATTCAATGCTTTCAGGATTGAGAAAAACCGAAAATACGACACATTCGCTGATTTTCAGAAGAAAAAACATCTGATAGGCTGAGAGCAAAATCGAAAATACACCAGATTGGCTGATTTTTTTAATGTTGAAATTCTATGGGTCCATTTTTCGGCCAATCAAATTCGGGAGAACCTGACCAACATTCTCCGTTATGCACACTCATCCTTGCAAGACTAAGAATATAGGTCCCTGGGATATCATGAATCAGTTATGTCTCTTCAACGTTTGCCTCATATTGCAGCGAGAAAAAGTAGCGGATGCCATTCTCAATGATTACAACACAGCAGATGATTCTCTACCATGACTTTGAATTTCTGGTTAGCTAAAAGATGAGCTACAGGTCATATAGAAATATGATATGCTTAGATACACTAAAAATGACCACTTTCGACCAAATCAGGCCAGTTTGGGCCGCATAACTCATTTTTCAGTGCAACTAGTCACATGTTTAGAATTGACATAAAAGTGAGGAAATTTATGCATATTTCTAAACTTTCTGATCAGTTTGACTTTTGTCGATAAATTGAGCTCGGCTTCACCATAGGGCTCCGCTGAAAAATAAACACTGTCAAAACGTCATTCTTATTGTTTAGGTATCTAATATTTCGGTTTCTTACTCGATATTGACTCCTCACGACGAGTTTTTCATAATGAACCCAATGTATTCACAGAATCTTTTGACATTCCCATAAATGTTCGTCATTAGTGAATGAAATTCACTCTAAATTGGTCTTTCAGCTAGGATTTTTTATGGGTAAAACTAAATGCCATACAATTTCGGATTTGACTATACTTCGACGCGAGTCTTCATCAGAGATATTAAAATCAAAAATCTGATTTTCCGAGACGACCTCTATTTAACATCGAATGGTAATTTTGTGTACTCTCTCTTAAGAACTTCTGAGTAAACTCATTAGTATATTGATAATTGCACTTCACATATCTATCAGATTGATCTCAACATTTTTACAGAATGTTTAATTTCCTCTCCTCTATCACATAGTAAGCAAACGATAAGTTCTCGAAAATTATTTTACTGTCACTCGCTGAAGTTAACTTTAGCTTTCTGCTTACTCAATAATAAATAAATGGCAGGTTAAAATTATATTTTTGAGGTGTGGAACAAAATTATTACGTAGCATGAGTGATAGAGCTTGATAAAGGTTATCTGTGGAAATATTTCCATAGTGCTCCATTGTTCCTGTACAAAATTCTTTCACTCGATATTCTGGTCATTTCTGCAGTAAAACCGCAAGATATGACGATCTTAGCATGGGTAATGTCCATCGTCGAACAGATGAAAATGGGTGAATTTGTATATTTATGAGGATTGTGGACTAACAACTATTGTTAGAAATACCGAGATTTGCAATGGCAAAAAGCTAAAGAGAAAACTCTTTTTGTTTGGTAAGCGTCATACAAAAAAAAAGAAAAAGAAAAACAATCGTAATTAAAAGCATCCATTCTTTTGGTGATGATTGCATATCCCACAAGCTCATCTGATTGAGTTGAGAATTTCAGAATATGCATAACTCAATGTTCTCTACAACATATTAAAAACATCAGTAAATTTGAGACATCATTCAATCGTTGACGTCTGAGACCTTATAAATTCTGTTTTTAAATATAGATTATCGTGAAAAATGCTCTTTCCTTAAAACCATCGGTTTGCAATAATATCAGTCTTTATCTCGAGAAAGCATGCCGAACTCAATTCATTTTGTGTCATTTATTCAAAATATATCATATCATAGAAATTTCATTGCATACACCGATTGAAGAGAGTTTTTCTCACTGAAAAACGTCCAGATATCCAGAGTAAACAAATTGCTCAATTCTATTGATAAGAAGTAGTATTTTAGTATTAGATTGAGCAGTCAATTTAAGCTCAAAAACAACTTTTGGAAAGAGAACTGATATTAGTGAAAAAGTCATTATTGAACATGTGTTTACATTCGCTTTTTTGCCATTGAGAAAGTTAATAGAATTTAAGAAATCGCGTCTGTTACTACCTAAGTCGCGAAAGTGCTTTTCAGATATGTTTGGTTTTGAGCATTTTTCCTAGCCAGATTGGTCGTGGAAAACTTGCTTGATGCAATAATTGCTGTTAAACCCTTTCAATTCGGCTCTTTCTATTCGTTCTGCATGAGAATGGAGAAAAATCGTGAAATCTCTCTCTTGTATTCTGTGGTTCATAGTCAGCTGTATATAGATGCTAGAGTCCTAACTGGTAACCATCGAAAAACAAAACATAATGAATCAAGTGGTCCTCAATTCTCTATCTCATTAGTCTCACATGCTTTTTTCAAACTCATCATAAGACATGTACGATGGAAGCAGGCAACAGCGCATAAATTCAATCTGTCATCTATGATATGGCAGCCGGATCGAAAGGACTGAGCTTTATTCTTTTTGATTAAAAGCAATTTGATTCGCTGCGATCTTTCTTAGCGGAGAACCGCGCCTGTAGATTTCGGCAAGTACTTTTACACTGCTTGTGATGCCGACTTTATTTATTTTTTGTCACTCATTTTCTGTATGCATTAGTGATTGCTGGCTTCGAATCAACAACTGCAGCATTTTGCTATCTCCTATTCGCTCTTGCCACTCATCCAGAAGAGCAAAAGAAACTTCAAGAGAACATTAGTGCTCACTTCGACGAAACAACAGAAGTCATTACACCTACATTTGAGACAATCTCTGGAATGGACTACCTCGATATGTTCATTCGAGAAACTCTACGCATGTATCCTGTTTCGCCGGGGCCGCTTACTCGTCAAAGTGCCGAAGATTTCTATATAAAAGATATTGGAACTTTACCAGCTGGTACTCGAATCGCTGTGGATATGTACAATTTACATTACAATCCAGATTTATGGGGCCCTGTTGATCCGCATGTTTTCTATCCTGAACGATTCTCCACGAAACGACATCCATTAGCATGGATCTCATTTGGAGCAGGGCCGCGTCATTGCATAGGCATGCGATTTGCTTTTCTCGAAATGAAAATGATGCTTATTTACCTGCTTAAAACATACTCGATTACAGAGTGTGGTGGCGAATCACGAAAGTGGTTTGAGCAACTCACGGAACCGTTTGTCATTACGCCAGCGAGAGCAATTTTTCGACTCCATCGAAGGGATATCACCATTAATCGAACGCTGTTGGATTGAACCCTACAGTTAACAAAGGTTGATCGTAGTTTTTAAATAATGGATTGGCTCTTTCTACTAACTAATGAATCCTCGTAAATAATATTAATAACCTAATTTTGCTTCAATTGACATCATTGTATTCAATATATACACTTTTATTGGCTAATGAAACTCTATTCTAATTAGCATTTTGCGAATTATTTGACAGGCAGCAGTATGCAACGAAAAGCGCTACATAAGAAACTAAATGTGCCACCCCTTAAGAAAATATCTCACAGATCTAAACCGAACGATTACATGTTTCTGCACGCTTTCTTGCACTAGATTTCGTTATCGAAATAGTTATAGAAGAGATTTAGTGGATCACTTTGATATGTCCAAGGTATAGTATACCATCACTCAAGTATCCTATGAATTGTTTTCCTTACTTCAATATTTTTAACTTCAAATATCATAGTTCAATCAAATTCTCTCCACTCTTCAAAGTATGCATAAGAACTTGATATCTATTCCAAACAGTTCAAGAAATCGACCTTGAAAACGAAGTCCATAGATCGACTTAGCGAGACTATTTTCTCATTCCAATTGCAATTACTCCATCAAGCAGAACAGTTGTCAACAATAACTTGCCTGAAAAGTATGCCATGAGTCGCTCTACAAAATCTACCTATCCCAAATAGGTTAAATACTCCTCTGGATTCATTCTTCAGACATGACATTGAAAAACTATTACTTTTTCTGTCATCGAAACCTCAAAATCAGCACAATGTGCTTTGAATTGGCCGTATTGTTCCTATTCCAATGAGGCATACAACAAGTGACTCAGGTTTAGCGTAATAAACTGTGTCACCCAGGATAGAAGAGAACGGTTTGGTACATCTCCTAGATGATACTTCTCAAAGAGCAATCTGTATTTCAAGAGAAGAAGTATGAAAAACTATCTCCTGTCAAGAGCATCCTACAATAGACAGGGATAAATTGTTATAATATTTTTTACATTTTTTCTTGACATAGAGAGCTGAAATTAATTATCGTCACATATTCTTGTCAATCTACTTCACCAACAGTTATAGCTAGAGAGCTGAAACTTTCAAAAACAAACTTGGAGCAATCCAAATATAATGCCACTGACATTTTTATATCGTGTGGTAAGTTTTACGAAACTTTCTTTTTATATGCAGACATAGCACAAACAACGCTGTATTTTTCTGTGGTATTTGGTCATTCTTCAACTAATATCATAATAATAATATTTCGATGAAACCTGTTTATGAGTCATATTTCACCGTTGATCAGTTTTTTTTCTAAATTCGTATTTTTTCTCCTTCCTGCTATCTATCATGCAAGACAAATTGCAACGAATATTTAAAAGTTATCAACACTCATAACTTTGATTATCATAGGCTATAAATGTTTCTAGACTCTTACCTAGTGAAAAATTTTAGGGATTAAAATCGATTAAAATTTAAAAATCCAATGGACATTATCCGGATTGAAAATCCGATTTTTGTGAAACAAAATCAAAATTTTAATCGATTAATACCGATTTTAATTTTGGTTTCAATCATAATGACTTTTGGTTCATCGCAATCATGCAGAGCATTCACACGGATTGCACTTCACTCTGAATTTCACGGATAATTCGGAGGTTATAGGATTTGTACCTGTTAATCATGCTGTCGTTTAGAAAGCTTTGAGAATTTCGTGCAGTCTTGGAAATCAAGCATTCCACATGAGACTCTAGGCAATTTTTACCTTACTCAACTGCTCTATTATAAAAAAGAGGAGTCTAAACATCTCATCATGAATATTACATGCTGAGTCGATTATTGATTTTGCCATATGTTTGATTCTCTCATGTCCTGTTTTATAGGTCACTTCTACAAAAAAATCATATCAACAAATATAATCTTTCCTATTGTTGACTCAGAGATTTGTTTCAATCTTTAAAAAAATTATAGCTTTATTAATACTTATAAATTTTTCAAATGTTCTCTAACTAATGCTGGATTTTTGAGATGTTCAGCAATTTTATGAGCTAAATAAGGAAGCCATCTATGTGACTTTTCATTGAATTTCTTCGAACTTTGTATTTCGCGCAGTTAAAGTCATCGAATTCCAAGTTTCTCTTCATGATGAGTATTCTTCGTACAACTAGTAGTTCTTTCATTTTTATCTCTTTTTGCCTTTGATTAGCTTCATTCGACCAAAAAAATCAATCTTGAAGGCTTTCCCAAAAAGAACGATTACTATCGATTATATTTAGAGCACGCAAAGCCTTGAAGATTAATTCTTCCAGCCCAATGAACTTGAGCAAAAGACTAAAAAACGCAAAAATTAGAGAACTATTGTCCATTTAAAAATAAAAGGCAGGTTGGTATTTTTTGATTAACTTTTCATAGTGATAAGATAGAGACCTGCAACTTTCACCATTCAATAGAGAAGACCCAGGGGCATAAACCAGTGCTGAAATCTGATTGGTTCAGAATAGGCTAATCAGGTTTTTTTATTGGTGGGCATGTTGGAAACGATTTTATGGAGCTATTTCTCGATTTCTCTGAATTGTTAAATTAAGTGTTCGATAGAAAAAATTGTTTTCTTTCCATCTACACAAGACCGATCTTCCTAACTTGTTCCTTTCAAGGGCCATAAGAGTTTTCCTGAGACTCCTGATTGCAGCAATTGAACTTTGGATCACCCCGAAAGGCATCTAGGATGGATTAATTCATTATGCTGAGTAGAATGGTGATATTTGTTTTTGAGTTTGAAAGTATCTGACACGGTTATTTCGCAATTTTCCGAAATTTCACAACCTGCCGCTATGTATCGAATGAAACTACATTTAGCAAAAATTGTAAAATGACAGTATCAGATACTTTCGAACTAAAAAAAAATATCACCATTCTACTCAGCATGATGAATTAATCCATCCTAGATGCCTTTCTGTGCGATTCAAAGTTCAATAGCTGGAATCAGGGGTCTCAGGAAAACTCTTATAACTCTTGAACAGAACAAGTTAAGAAGATCGACGTTAGTGTAGACGGAAAAAGAACAATTTTTTCTATCGTACACTTAATTTAACAATTCAGAGAAATTGAGAAATAGCTCCATTAAATCGCTTTCAAAATGTCACTGAGAAAAAAAAACCTGATTGGTATATTATAGGCCAATCAGATTTCAGCACTGATTTATGCCGCCGGAGTCTTCTCTTTTTAACGGGAAAATCCGCAGCTCTCTATCTTAGCCCTATCAAAAGTTATTCAAAAGCTATGAACCTGTCTTTTATTTTTAAGTGGACAATAGCTGTACGAAGAATACTCTTCATTAAGAGAAACTTGGAATTCGATGTCTTTAACTGAGTGAAATACAAAGTTCGAAGAAATTCAATGAAAAGTCACATAGATAGCTTCCTCATTTAGCTCATAAAATTGCTAAACATCTCGGGAATCCAGTATTAGTTAGAGAACATTTGAAAAACTTATAAGTATTAATAAAGTTATAACTTCTTCAACGGTTAAAACAAATGTATAAGTCAAAAGCAGGAAAGATCATATTCGTCGATATGTTTTTTTAGACCAGTGACCTATAAAAAGGAACATGAGGCGATCAGATATCTGACAAAATTAATTATCGACTCAGCATCTAACATTCATGATGAAATGCTTAGACTCCTCTTATTTATAATAGAGCAGTTGAGTAAAGTAAAAATTACCTAGAGTCTCATGTGGAATGCTTGATTTCCACGTCTGCGCGAAGTTCTCAAAGGTTTCTAAACTACAGCATGATTAACAGGTACATATGCTATAACCTCCAAAAGTGTTATATAATTCGCTTGAACAGAGTATCATCTTGGCACAGTCTCGAAATAAAACACTGATGGGATTTTTCAGAGTTGCTCGCTAAGTATTGATTTTAGGGTTATAGGTTTCGTAAAATAATTCCTGACTTTTAACTTAGTGAAAAGCTGCTAAGAACCTTCGTTGAATCCTGTTTTCAACTCTGATTGGATCGAAAAATCTTTGAATGCACCATCATTTCAGTATTTTGTCATTTTCTCAGGAAAGAATTAATAAATGTTTTGAAGACCACTTTGAATATACTACAGATATTGAGCGAGAATATCAAACAATTTTCTGTATGGTTAGCATCTATTAGTCAATTTCAACCTATGATTACCTGCTTTTCCATGCCAATTTAATTTAATTTCACATGTCTAAAATCAGCGCTGTTGCTCAATATGCCGATAGAAAACCAATGTAGTGGGATTTTTTATTAGTCTGCGTTCGGAAACCATGAAGTGATTATCAATCGGCAGTCCAAGAAATAAATTAATCGAAAATATGCTGCAGAAGTTTTTCTGATATGATTACTTGCCACTAAATTAGTCGTTCATTAAATCTAAAACATGATCAAAATTCATTAAAAATATTTTAATCGGTATCGATCTAAGTGAAGCATATTGTAACATGTTTTTATAAAATAGGCCTATACGCGTAATATGGTTTCGTCATGATATTTTCTCATTTTGTATTCATTTAATATGTACTTTTAATCATGATATATGTTCATTGAGGTTAAAAGACTCTGTTTGTTATTATAAGCGTATATGATGCTCTCTAGGGACATCTACATAAAATCTTGTAGCAAAGAATAAATCTGTGTATAGTAATAACACACTTGAGGATTGAAAGAATACTTAATTTTTAGATTTTTATAATGAATGTCGACATGTTGTTGTGATTCTTCTTACAATCAGTATGGTTAAAGCTATATAGATGAGCACAAGACTAATGCTTTGATCTGACGCATATTGAAAACAAATTGCCTTTAACTCTTTACCCCGCGTTGGCAATTGGAATTACCATTTGTAGAATGATTGTAGAAAATAAAGGAAACATGTGATTTGAAAAAGATAAGAACAAATTTGATTGTGAACTTTATGAGCTATCGATTGGTAAAAAGAATAATTTTCTTCATCGCTCCATCTTTGAAATATTGGATCTACAAAATCGATAATT